CACACACTAATGCATGCACACAAAGCCTGAAAGAGGAAGAGTGAGAGGCAGCCCAGGACAGTAGCCAGAGAGGGGACACATGTCCACCATCCATTATGCTTTTGCTCTTTCTTTGTTGCTTTTTCTTTGATTACATACGAACCTCCAACATTAAATTGCTATGTCTGACATATATATTTTCCCCCTGCTCTCTCAACTTGCTCTGTGGATCAAAAATGAGAACACATTTGAACAAAAAGGAAAAAGACAGATAATAAGGTAATGAACTGGAGTCAAATCTGATGAACATCACTGATGAGGAGAAAATGTGTCGTAATGGAAAATGATTACAGCACATGTACAGAGGCCTCCAAAAGTCTGAGAGCAATGGTGAAAATGCTTCTAATGTGCATTTTTATCCTTTAAAACTATTTTCATTGCAAATTATATTATCAGCATATCAATTTGAGTGAAATGTTGCAACTTCCAGCTTTAAATGAATCTTGAATCTCATATTCTTAATGTGCTCTCAGACTTTCTGATGTGACGTTAGGCTGATCCAGTTCGGTTCATATATGACACTACTGATTTCCGGATCTGTATCAGGGTTCTTGGAAGTAACCAACCAACAGGCAAATCAGCATTTGATCACAAGTCATCAATCTAGCAATGCTTAGCCAATCAATCATCAAATCTGGAGGCAGTTGATTACTCGAGAGAGCTCATGTGATTTGTGTCTCATTTGCAGTTAAAAAGCACAAGATAACCAGCACAAAAGTAAATAAAAACAATCAACCGTCACCACAGCAATGAAAGCAAAGATTTCACATCATCAAACAACCATGATGCAAGAACCCCATCAACATTCAATTGGACAAAAACATGAAATTAAAAAAGACAGTGAATTACAACAATTTGCATCTCAAACAAAAGTGAAAGACCTTTCTCTCAGGAGCGCCAGCGCCATCCGTCTGCTCGTGCCGCCGGAGATAAAAGATGAAGATTAGTTCAAAACATGTCCTACAATACCTCTGGACTGTGTGCTAATTATATGAATGTGATTACAAATGCATGCTGGGTAGGTTAGCAGACCTCAAAGGCCGTTTCAGAGCTGATGGATGTGGCTGCATCCGTGTTTGGCTTCTCCATGACCTCCACCTGTGGACTCTGATTGGTGGAATAATGGACAAGATAGTCTGAAAAGGTGAAATGGATGATGGGAAGGCCTGAATCCCCAATCAAAGTGATATGGAGCGAGCCCTGAGCTCTGGGACAGGCTGGTCTGAGTGAGATCATGCTTTTCTGTTTGAGACTCTTATAAAATACTTGAAGGACTATAATAAGCTCAAGAGGGAAATCTATCCAAAATGCGTATAAATCTGCTGTTTAGTGTAAGATTAAAGCTGGTCGAGTGATTCGGGTTCAGGTCTGATATAATAAACGCTTCAGCTGAAGTGCGGGGAAAGAGGTTTTTTTCAGTCAGGATGTGGACTATGAATAGGGTCCCACTGGAATGTTGCTGATTTAAACAGCTAGAATCAGAGCGCAGCGACTAATCTGCATTTCACACTGAAAATCTGGCACTGGAAGGGAAGAGCTAAAGGGAAAGGCAAACGGCAACAAAATACACACAGTAGCGTTTAGGAGGCAGGCAGACATGGAGACAGGAACGGGGAGGTCAGGGGTCATTTTAGGCGGCGGGGTCACACTGCATTTCCTCTGGAGAGCTCGTCTCAGCCGTGACCTCTGCTGACCTGAAGCGCGCGAGTGCTTTCGGCTCCAGGTAGCACAGGGACAGGGCCAGAGGCAGCGCCAGCAGCAGAGACAGCGCCACCGACTGGCAGGCGGAGAGGAAGACGGCGAAGATGAGCAGGAAAGAGGGCAGGAGGGAAGGGGAGGAGAGGGGCAGACTGATGCAACCGTCCTCATCCAGCAGTGAGGGCAGACGCAGACCCTTACAGAAGCTGAGCATGGCCAGACCCAGCCGGGGCAGGGCGGAGCGGGGCGCTGAGGGGGCCTGCGGCTCTTCAGACCCTGGGACACACTCCGCGGGCGAAAACGACGGAGCGGACAAACCCTCGCCACTGCCAGCTGAGCAGCTGCTGGAGTCTTGGGCCTGCCAGCTCAGAGGCTCAGAGTCAGGCTCGAGGTGGAGGTCGGGCTCGTCCTCGGAGATGTCAGACAACACATCCAGCTCAGAGATGGTGTCGAGGGTCGGCGGGAGGGAGGAGAGGGTGGAGGAGGACGGGGAGAATGGGAACATGAAGAGAGACTGTGTGGGTGCAACGACAGAATGCAACGGAAGAGGAATGTGCATGGCAAAAAGACATGGTGGAGTGCGCGGGGAAAGAGAAAGGGAGAGAGAAACACAACATTAGTCAGTGAGCCGAGTCGAGGTCGGGGTGTGAGGGATGACACATTAGGAAAGACTCTGATATTTAAGGCTAATTTATACTTCTGCGTCGGACCTACGCCGTAGCTTACGCATAGACGCACACCCATACGCCGTAGCCTGACGTGCACCTCTCCAAAAATCTAACAGTGCGTCAATTCTACGCAGACCGCAAGCGCTGTGATTGGTCTGCAAAAACCCCTCCCTCCATATGTACTGAGTTTTGTGTGTGTTTATGTGCACTTTAATATATTTTAATGTTACACCTTCTTATATAAAATAAAACAAAGCAAAGAACAAGTGTCTTATCATTTATTATACTACATAGCATTATTCATCAATATTTGTCCGCAACAAACAATGTTGATCTGCCGTGGTACAAGTCCTTGTGCAGATTGAAAGAATGCCATCATCTCCTGTTCCGTTGTTGTCTCCTTTTTGTAGTTTTAAATAATGATTTAATGATTTGATATTACGGCTATAATGCTTCTCCGACGAGCCGCTTCTTCTTCGGCTTTTGCCGTGGTACTGCGGGTTACATCAGCAACATGCCCGTGGACACTGCAGACTAGTGGTTTGCATGTGTACTGCACGTTGACGCGGACAACGACGCAGAAGTATAAATGAAAATTGATGCATAGCCTACGGCGTAAAGGCTACGGCGTAGGTCCGACGCAGAAGTATAAATCAGCCTTTAGGGGTGTGCTAGTGTGTGTGTGCGTGAGGGTGGGCAAGCATTAGACCAGTGTTTCTCAACTGGTGGGTCGCAGAGTGTACGGCCAAAGAAACGGCATCAACAACAAAAAACGAAATTCGGAATGTTTTTCTGATGCAAGACTTTTATCTTAAAAGACATGCATGAAAGCTGTTGACACATCTGTCAGATGCAGTTTAAGTAAAGAGTGTCTGAGAAAAACGCGCTGTCCCGATTCAGTATCTGCGGTCAGATGAGATGTTGACAGGTTTAATGTCAGTGTCATTATTCCATCATTATTTTCATAACTTATGGAATAAAAAGCCTCTCACCTCAGAGAAACGAACTATCCTGTCCTGCCAGATGTTATACCGTGCTCGTAGCGCGCACTCACAAACGTGGCGCCGCGCTGTATATCAGTTCACTAAAGCACAGAAACTATGAGCATGCAACGCGTGAAATAAAAGTACAGTACCAATAAATCACATAACTGGTACTGCGTGTGTTAGCTGAGAAGGATTTGCATGAAGGTATGATACATTTAATCTATTCAGGAGCAGTTTCCACGTTTCATTAACAGTTCATGTTAGTGTTGTATATTCACCATGGTAACTGTTGTTTCCATAACCCAAAAATACCACGTTATTTTCACGTTGTGTAATTTTGTATATGTTTAAATGACTGGTGGCTCAAACCAACTTAATTGTATTTACAAAAACTAGTTTGGGACTGCTATTTAATAGCCTTACGTTATAGGCTGTTTATTCAGTATTAATCATATTCTTAACAGTCCTGACTTAATTTTTGTGAAATAAATTTGCTTTGATTTTGTTTTTTAACTGGAGAGAAAGCGAACTCCGGTTCAGATCGAGTGTGAAAACGCCCTGAGAGAAACACAAAGGCATCTGTCTGGATTTCAGTGTCCTAAACGAGAGTAACTCAATCAGGAGCTCTTCAGTGGGCTGGACCTACACCATATCTAACGAGCAGGCCGGTGACTAGCAGAGGGGTGGAATGTCAGTCGCCATGGACACAGCCAATAACGGGCTAGATAACACTGTTATTGTCACAAAGTTGGTTTGTGTGCATTTGAGGGCAGTTCCACAGAGAGGATGGGTTCTCAAAGCACTTCAGTCCTCCATTGGCTTGCGTGTAGGGCGTCTGTGAAAGACTCTCTTCATGTGAGAGCTATAGGTAGCGGCAGGA